CACTGATCAATTTGGTTGACTTAGCTTATGTACTGGGAGTTTAAAAGTTCATATAATTAACAAAAAATGATGAATGTATGGTACTTTTCAGCTTTGTAAATAACACGACTGACTCCCTGAAGAAGACCTGAGGACTGTACTCCTGCGGGTCACATACCCCAGGCAATAAGATAGGTATCTAGTGAATAAGATTGGTATCTAGTGAATGGAGTCTGCCTCCACCTACTTCTTCCTTCTTTTGCCAGCAGGATGGAAAACTGAGGGACAGGTATTATGCCATGGCAAGATCAAGCAGGCTGGATGCAGAGGACGAGAAGGTGCTAAGGGCTTATCAAAAGGGTGCCTCTAAACATTCTCCTCTGAAAGGTGGAGCGAGAATTCCAAAAGGTGAAAAGGAGCACACTATAGTGCATAACTGATGACTGACAACACTGCTAGTCGAGATTATTCCTGGCAACCACCAAGCGAGTGTTTGCTCTAAAGGTAACCACAAAATCGGCTAAAGCTGATGGGCCTTAACTGAGGCTAAATAGAAGAGGCAATTAAAATCTTCAGTCTAGCAAAGTGAAATAATGATGGAGCAGGGTGGTAACAGGTAAGAACTAAGTGAAGCTGAGCTTTGCACTTTTTGCAGAGGATATTTGTGGTAGCAGTGTGCCCACATGGCTGGGCAGCAGGATGGTGCTTTGTCTGTTTGCAAGAAGAGGCAGAATGTTTGCCGGAGAAACAGGCACCTGCATTTCTGTGTGACAAAGAAACATGGTTTGTGGATTACATCAGAGTCAACAGAATTAATGCCTTCACCAACCTTGACTGCAGCATTGGTATGAGCCATGAAACGGCTCTTACAGTGGTGGCGGTGCCTGGCCATCCTGTTCAACTCTGGTGATCCCTGGTGAACCTGTGTGAGACAGAGAATTTGCAGAAAGTAAAGACAACCATAAGAATTCAGAACAGTATTTGGAGGTTTACCCAGACCAGACAAAATGGGCAGTGGGTTGACCAGAGACTGATCAGTCACTATCAGGGACCAGAAGATTTTCAGACAGGTTTACCATGATGTTCACTAACAGGAATAAGCTGCGGGAAGGACTTAAGCTTTCAAATGTCCACTTTGGAGGGGAATTTAAGGAGTTGAAAACTGGAGTGGAAGTCCTAAATAAACAATTCAGCCTGCCAACAAACTTGGCTAAAGCCAGGCATTTACAATTAATTTGTCTCCAGTTGGAAGTCATTGTCCTTGAAGGAACTGTCGCATTCCTGGATGTGCAAACTCCATTATTTGTGAGGAAAGAATTCCCTGGGAACTATTTGGTCTTGAGATCTGATCAACAGCTGGCAATTTGAATAAGCAGTTCGAGGGTACCGCACAAATCACTTCTGAAAAAGAGACAAGAGTCATCTTGGGGAGCAGATATTCTTCACACGTTGGTGAAGGTGGCATGCAGCTGCTCAGGCCAGCCAGGATGAGAAAGAACGAGAATAAGAGATCTCATTGCAGCTTCTCAGTGCAAGTGCTCACTTCAGAGGAGAGCTGCACTGATTCAGCTTAGCTCGCTCTTTCAGAGCACTATATTTTACTGTGTAGTAATGCCTCAGCTACCTGTCAGTGGGAAAAGCAAATTGGCAGGCCTCCATCAGCCCATCAAGCTTATTGAGCACACTGGAATCAGCTTCTGTCTCAGGAAACACAGGAAGTCACTAGAGGAAACCAAGCTGCTACTTCTGACTTTCATAGGGTCATAGAACGAACGGTTTGGATTGGAACGGACCTTAAAGATCACCTAGTTCCAACTCCCCTGCCCTGGGCAGGGACACCTTCCAATACACCCAGTTACTCAAAGCCTCATCCAACCTGGCCTGGAACACTTCCAGGGATGGGGCATCCACAGCTTCCCTGGGCAGCCTGTTCCAGTGTCTCACCACATTTTAAACAAGGAGGAACTGGTTGAAAATCCAGAAGGGGAAGGTACTTTGTTTGAAAGTGGTAATGACACATTGAGTTAACTTATGTGGAAGGAAAAAGCACAAAAGACTTGGAGTAAGGAAAAAAGCAGACTTTTGAAAAGTCAGTGAACCGAAAGGTAATGTCTTTTGAGAAGATGATCTCAAGAATGAATAAGAATAATTGGAAGAGAATATATTATAGGAAGGAAAGATAGGAAACAGTAAGAAAAACGCATAGCAATAAGTTTGCAACAAGTGCTCTCTAAGAAAATGAAACTCCAAAAGACAATTAAGCGTAACTGAGGCTGCAAGTAGATATAGAGAACAAGAACACAGGAACCAATTTAGAAAACCAATTTAGAAATGGACAGAACGAGTAATGAACAGCAAGAGACATCAAAGGCAAAAAGAAGATGGTCTAAAAGAAGTAAGGGTTAATAAAAATAAGTGGAAATTTATTACAGAATGTGGAAGGAGAGCAGCTAATGGATGATGCACACCGGGCCAAAGTGTTCAAGCCTTGTTTTGCTTGTCCTCACAAAGGAAGATTATTCCTGCCAGAAATGAATACATTTAAGTAAGTAGTCATGTGTACCAACCAGAATAGAAAAAAAATAAAAATTAAGGACTATTCATTCTATATAGTCAGCGGAACAGGCCTACTGAGCATCAAACTAGGAGCAGCAATCTCTGAACCAGGGTTGATTACCTGTGAGCAGGTCAAGGAAAGTCATAAAGGAGAAGACTACACATAATGCCCGTGTTCCAAGGTAGATACATTCATTGCTGCAACTGCCTGAAGGGTCAGGTGGAGAAACTCTAAACTGTGCAACATCCTACACATACATATCCACCCTGAGGGGTAGAGCTGTGAGGGAGTGGATGTGGTTTTAATGATATCCTACGGTTTGGCAAAAAAGGATCAGTAGCACGATCCTCAGTGCTCACTGTATTTCCACACGCATGATTTACACCAACGGGATTATGACTTCAGAGTCCAATGACCTCAACTGAAGGTGCAGAAGTTCAGTGTTTTATCTATGACTTTCATGTAGAAAGTGAATTTGAATCAGCTGTCTGTAAATTCCCACACTCACTGATAAACACAAAACAATTTTGTTGTATGGTGTCCTTTCTGGTAATAAATTAAAATTGTGTTAAAAATCAAGTACATCCACTGTTGCCTTTTAATCACTGCTCTGATGAGTTATTCTGCCTCTCTGAAGACCTACCCTACATCAATAGTATCTAATTGCCTTGTTTTATTTCCCTTTTGTCAGTGCTATCACTGAAAAGACTGAGGCAGACGACAGAAATATAATGGAAGCCCCCAAGCTATCAAATAAGGTGTTTTTTTTACTGCATACATTACTGTTATTCTGATCACCTGGCTTTTTAGCTTCTAGATTCTCGTATCTGTGCCTTACTAAAATTATTATTCAGCTGCTGGTGCCACTAACAAGATAATTTACCTCAGAACCATCCAAGAAAAAAATTGTCCTGCCCTATTGAGAGGTGTGTCTAATTTCTGATATCAAAAGCAAACAGATAGTACCAGCCAAAGACCTGTACCATCTGGTTTATGTGGCAATGGGCAAGGCAAAAAGGGTTTCTTTTTAATGTCTTTTCATAGTTTATTTATAAACCAATGTCGGGTGTGACAGAGGAAGGTTCATAAGAAACCTGACAACTAGGGTTAAAAGAATGAAGGTTGGCACGCTGTGACTGTCTTCCTGGACTGAATCCTGCCAGTGATATGCGGAGGCAGGCTTTATCTGAGGGTCTGGAGATTGTGTGATCTGCTCACCATCTCTTCAGCTGCAGCGATCTCTGTGTGTTGGCGTCATGGGGTACAGCCACCGGCTGAGGCTTTGTGTCTGCAGTTACACAGAACTGGGATCCTGAAGACACCAGTGACGCCGAAGGAGAACTGGGTCTGTAGTTCTCTGGGGACCTACTCGAAGATAAAAGAGCACTCAGTTTTGTTCTGTTGGTGTTGGTCCCCTTTCAGCTCTGTCACCGCTGCTCCAAAGTTATGTTGTGGTTTGGGCCAGGTTGTTACTGAGCATGCAGGATAACAGCCTTAAAAAATAAATGGCACAATTGATCAGCGCCTCACTTGCTTTGTTTATTCTACTTATATATCAAATAATTCACTAAACTTTTGTGTAGTGTTACAAAACATAGAGCCCTCCCCTCAGCCCCCCGTAGTTCCTTGACACTTAAACAATAAGAAAATGCTTCTGCATGGAAATTTGGCACTGATTTTGAAACAGGTAAGACTTTAAATGACTCACAAGAACCTAGATCCTAAGATAAGGAGGGACACCTGCTGCTTTTTATTTGAAGCAGCTTCCCTGATGATATTAATTCACTTGCTTAAGACCCTGTATGAACAGGGCAGGCTACTGGTGGTATTCAGGTCTGCAAGCTTTTAGTCCCCACGCTATGCAGACCGCATACGGGGGGCACACTCGGTTGTCGTAGCCCAGGGCCACTGCTAAATCAAACAATCTTGCTTGTTGCTTGTCGTGAAATGCTTATTACGTTCCTGCACCTGCAAGGGCAGCTGCTTGGAGCAGTCATGAGCATTTGTCCAGCTGTACTGTGAACTGCCATTCGAACACTAATGTTAAACCTGACCAAGCAGGTAACCGAGGCATTTTAAGCTCGGATCAGTTCCAACTCCGTTAGCCGATGGACGCTTGCGTTGGGGTACGGGGGAAGCAGCCAAGGTGAGGGACAATCCTCTCTGGGCCCCACCGGCTGCTCCCGGACATACAGTGTGCACAAGGCCCCCACACTCCCGCAGCCGCTGCCGCAGCGACTGAGGCCTCGCCCCCGCTTACAGCAGCTTAATAACACCCACCGAAACAAC